GCGAGGGGGAAAAGCGAACGTTAAAAGATGAGAGAGTTCTCGACGTAAAGCCACAGCGGCGGGGAGTTCAATTGGAGTATGTTGTACGAATGTTCGTCAAGCCTTTGTCGTGTTACGCACTATATTGAGATCTCATACAATGCATGTGCAGAGCGATTGCAGTGGCATCGTCTATTGCTGATGAATGGGAATTGCCAAGGCAGATATTCTGAATCCTGAGTCAGACAATGCGGGGTCAAGCTTGCGCTTGCAGAGACACACGTTATCCAAGAGACGAAGTCATACCTTGAGTCCCAGGGGTCATCTTCGACATTTTCTTCCCGAGCGCGGTCTGATACTACAATACTAGTCATCCCCTATGGCACCACTGCGGGTGAGATGTTCGAGTTACACGGGGAACTCAGCCGCGTCATCGTACCACCGGCAGGTACCATGCGGTGGTGGAATTCGAACAGGCAGATGAAGCGCCAAGGCTTTTCGAGCTGTAGCTTACCGACGTCTGGAAGTAGTGTCGTCTACTTGGAGAAGGGTCGATGGGCATGTTCCAGGAGACTGCGGATGCAGCAGGGAACTCTGACCGTACGCTGATAACTGCATTCAAGTCGATCACTATCGCCAAGCAGGAAGCTGGCAGCGGTGCTGATGCGGACGAGCTTTCTTTGTCTGCTGGGACGACTTATTCGTCAAGAATCTGGCTTTCAGTGCCACTGCAGAGCGTCTGGTGCGAGTCTTCCGGGGTTTTTCTGGTTTCTCGTTCGCGAGAGTACGGACTGAGCCTGATCCCAAACGACCTACTGTTCCTAGTGCTGAAGCCCCCAGGCTGAGTATGGGGTACGGGCCGTACACTGCCTTCATTGTGCTACGGTACTTCCTGCACTAGGAGCTCGGAGCTAGTGTTCGTGCGGCAAACCCTTATGCTCGTGTCGAGCAACTCGAGTCTAGTTCAAGTTTTGTACTCCAGCAGCCGCTAATCACTAGTCACTCTTCAACGATGCACAATTCCGACAAGCATATACAGATACCGCTCCCTCCGGCGAACCTGTAACGCGCAACCTCACAAGCAGTCGCAGAATATCGTGATTATCGTCTAAATAGTCGCAACTTTAGTTCGCTGACGGTGGCATCTTTAGCATGAGATTTTTCCTCTTATTTTTAAACGATGTCACACTTGGTGCTTAAAAATCTGCCAGAGCACCTTCGCCTCAGAAAGCACTTCGAACGAGGGCGCACGCACTCTGGAAGCATCATAGATCAGTGAAACTTCGCTCCAGCCAGACGGCACTTCACATCGATTTAATGTCGAGACAGATCGAGAAGCAAGAGCTGCAAGGTGGTTCGACCTCAACGTTATTGCATCTACCTGTGTCGTGAATCAATGTTACCATTGACGTCTTCACATCCTGGATGGCTGGGCTCATGAAGGCCTACAGTTCGGACGACCTTCATGGGAGATAATATCGATCTTGCATCCATACTTCAAACACTGTTTCTACCTATGTCACCTCCGATACTCGAAGTCAATTCTTTGGGGGAAACAATCAACTTTAACTTGTGCAAAAAAGAAAAGATTTACTGGTGAATTATCATCACGCCACCAAAACATCACGATCCTTTTGCACAGGAAGTGGAGAATCCGACTTAGAATTGAGGCATCATTCTTCACGTGCCCGATCGCAGGACCAGCGACTGTCGAGGACTGAGAGGCAGAGGTGGCTGATAACTGTGAGGACGACGACGTGCTCTTGGTTGTTTCGCTGGCTTGCTGTGTGGTCTTGGGAAGCTGAGAGGATAGACGTGTCTTTCCTCTTGCGTGATGGTTTCTCTGCGTAAAGACTGAGACAGTGAAAAGAACCTAGAGGAACGAACAACACACAGGCTGGGACACACAGTTTCTTCTTTTCCCGATGGCCATCACTTATAGGTACTTGACTTGTACAGAGAATGAACACGCACAGGTTGAAGGTTGCGAAGGAGTGGAGTCTGGACGTTTTGCTGAAAGAGTCGAATCAGGAGGTCACTTATATGTAACTTCTGCACAGGTTTTCGGGTTTTGTCACTTCATCACAACTTGAGTGCAGGCTGTGCAGATCGGACCTGAGGGTCAAATTCAGCTCCTGCCTTCCATTTGGACAAATAAGCCATCGATTACTTACAAGTACTTCCTGCTACGCGGACTGAAAACTGCTGTGGAGTGAATACTGTGCTTGATACAGAGAGGGAGGCCGCTGTTCATATACTTACTATGGACATATGATGATAGCATGATGCCTCGTGTTCGCTTCACAGCTTTACACAACGTAATAGTATGCTGTGGAGATCAATCTTTTGACGGCATGCAAAGTTTTTTCATCTCTGTCGGCATCTCAGCATCAATATGGTGTCTCTTACTGTCAAGTAAGTCCACACCCTTCACTGGGCCAATGCAATTATCTTGTCCTGGTCTTGGGTCCTACCTCCCGCGCTAGACTTCCGGTCCTGTGCTAAACAGCGCCTTCCTTGCCGATTCAACTCTGCATCGAGATTCCGTGTGAAGAAGCCAGGCAAGGGGATCTTCTTGAGCGCCATGTAGGTCCTTCAAACATGGACAGTGTTTCACATCTCAAATCGGGTGCGTAATCGAGAGTTGAAGCTTTCGCTGAGCTATGGTGAGACGAGCCTTGAGTTCATGGTGCGTACATGTCTGATTCGTGAGATGAAGAGATACTTGACGATCCGAGCAGCGCGTTCCTGCTTAACGGTAGGATATGAATACCGACGAATGGTCGGGAACGACTTGCTGATAGATGATTTGTGTTCAGTAGACGAAGGGCGATAGAGGCAGCCTATTCTATTTATTTGCTCGACACGTTGCTCCGAGTATAGGGACGTGGATCTGGAAGCGACCGCAAGTGACTGATTAGACGAAGACTAGAAAAATGTAAGCAGAATAACTAGAATGCGATTTAGTAGGGAGAAGAGGAAAAGCTCACGTAGGACGTTGAGAGTCACGATCGATGAGTCCATTTGTACTCAACAGAAATGTGGAAAGCAAAGATAGGTACGACAATTGCAGAGTCGCATTGGGCGAGCAAACAAACACTGGTCGCAGGATCGCGGGATAGTAGGACCATGATGCCGAGGCGTTAATGCGCATATTGTCATGACTGGGCGCTTGACTGCACGAGCAGTACTAAATCAGTAAAGCTAACACGAGGATGAAGCGAGGAAAACGTACCTGCAGAAGATTTTAACGACGACCTCCCTCCTGATTTGAGTCTCCATTGAACGAAACACCCACCCCGTCTGAGCTTTCGTTCTGCATTCCTCTTTCAGTACGAATCGAGTAGCATCTGGATTCTGAGTAAGTGATAGATTTGTACAGCGGTTGAAGGCAAGAGCTGAAATTAATACGCACCCATCAAGTGAATCCCGAAACCAAAGTCATGGAGCGACCAACCCCTGCGAAGCACGAGAACTTAACGACAATACCTTACCGAAAGATCAGAGTAAACTATGACACCAGCCACATCCTACACCTGCCCAGTGGACAGCAGATCCTCACCTATTCATCGAGTAATGGATCATTTCAAGTCTGGGACATGGAGAGGGACACTCAGTTTGGAGAGGAATGGGAGGACAAAGAAAGAGAAGTGGAGATCATAGCATTATCGCCGGATGGCAAGAAAGTAGCAACCGGGAGTCCTGATGGCGCAGTGAAATTGTGGAGCATCGACACGGGCAAGGTCATCAAAACATTGACGGGGCAGACAGAGAAAGCGGGTTCTCTGTGCTGGAGTCCGGATGGAAGACGAGTGGTGAGCGGAGAGTCTTGGTCTGGAAAATTCAGAATATGGGATGTCGAGGGTGGAGAAACTATCGTCGGACCAATCAAGGGAGGGGGATGCATGTACGCGGTTTGCTACTCACCCGATGGCAAGATGATTGCCACAACCGGGTTGACGGGGCTGAAAGTCTGGGATGCCAACACAGGCGAATTGCTCGAAACTCCTGATCGCGATGGTGAATATTGGTGCCTGGCATGGACCTTGGATGGAAGAGCACTTTTCGCCGGGGGATCCGACTTGATCGAGAAATTCGACACAGCCACGTGGACAGCTGTTAGTATCGACATACACGAAATATTTTTCAAAACCATTTCAAATGATGACATCGATGAGGGCGGAAAACTTCGTCCACATCCTCGCAAGCACATCATCCGTCGACAAGACAGCTGTGCAACTATGGAACATCGAAACCAATCAACCCATCAGAACACCACTTCACCATGAAGATGTATACGTGGAATTAAAATCTGCGTCCTTTTCTGCGGATGGAAAGTTCCTCGTCACTCGCCGCAACTACGATCTTATATACATATGGGACGTTTCAGCTATCCTCAAAGAAGCTGGCCTTCCATCAGATAATGTAAGCTTAGATACATTTCTTTTTCAATGGCATCATGAGCTCGCTCATCCTCCCAGGTGGTCTCGTGCACGATGCCGCCCTCTCATCTGGGCTCGAAACATAGTATCTGGCATGCTACGCGGAGGAGATTACTATTAGACGTAAGAGCACGTAGTTTTGGCAAGCCTGTACCTTTTTTCCACTCTCATTTATTCTTCATTACTGACTTTCACGCAACAAAGAAGAAGAAAGCTTCCGGCACCTTTCGACCTCCCAATACTTACGTTATGCCCACTGGAACACTACAGGGCACAGCATTATCATCGCGGCTACCACTCACCACTGCTACGACACCCAAGGGACTTCCTACAACCGCCACTACCGCGGTGGCAACTGGCACATCGTCACATTCTCATATTATCATAACTCGGGGCCGGGTGGTGGACTCGGTTCTTACTCTGGATTGGTTGCGTATCTTTTCAACACACAGACGGTCAACGTTAGGTACATCTTGGACATCCCTGTATAGCATGCTTCATGGTATATTCATTGTAACTCAGTCTGTAGTTAGTAGTCAGTTCTTGTGTTCTTAACCTTCGGCATCAGGCCAGCCATAAATGAAAGCCTCGTCGTGTGTATACTCGCGAGCTCATATTGCTCTTAACCTTCGCCAATTTGTGTGATTCATATGACACGAGCAGATCTCACCGTCCTTGTCGGTGTCAAGGAGCATTGCAATGACGGGGCAGCCGTGCCCATCTCACCGAATCCGATTGTGGAGAATTGTACCCAATTGCTGATCATCTGCGAGGTAGGTGCCAAGATGTGGGCTATCGTTTGTCGCGCTTGATGGTGTTGTTAACAGCCTTTGCCCTGCCATATTCGAGATTTTTACTGAAAGGCAAAGGGCGTTTGTACAGCTCCGAGTATTAAAGACATGAGTGCAGACAACGTACCGACGAGGATGACCAGTCTCATCCACGAAAATCGGAATCGTTATGGCCAGACTGCGATGTAGTTAGTAGGGAGACGAAGAAAAGCTCACGTAGGACGTTGAGAACCAAAGTCGGAGAGAGGACCAGGATGAGTCCAGTTAGACTCAACGAAAATGTGGAGAGAAAAGATAAATACGACAATTGCAAAATCGCATTGGGCAAGTGGAGAAAACAAAGTTTGCGAGATAGTAGGACCGTGATACCAAAGGATTAATGCGCATATCGTCATGATCGGGCGCTTAAACTGCATAGCCATGAGCTGAAAACCGCGAGGCAAACACGAGAGAAAGCGCACCTGCAGAAGACTTTATCGACCTCCCTCCTGACTTGAATCTCCGTTGAACGAAACACTCACTCTATCGCGGCTTTCGTTCCGCATTCGTCTTTCTGTGTACAAGTCAAGTACATCTGGATTCCAAGTAAGTGATGGATTCGTACGACAAGCTGAAATTGTCATGCACCCATCAAGTGAATCCCGAAACCAAAATCATGGAGCATCCAGCCCCTGCGAAGAACGAGAATCC